CTAGGAGTGGGATTGCTGGGTCATAGGGAAGCTCCATGTTTAGCAGTTTGAGGAACCTCCAAACAGTTTTCCATAGTGGTTGTACTAGTTTGCACAGAATCTGTGATTTTAATGGGATACTATTCCCAAGATTAGGCCGCAAATCCCTTTACTTTGTGTTAATCAAAAAAGAGGTTACCCTGGCCTAAGCAGGTCTTCAAAGAGGGTGAAGTGTCAGAGAGACCCTCTCCTGCTGGCTTAAAGAAATAAGTAGTGGTCATGAGATCTAGAGGGTCAGTATCTAGGATGTAAGAGGGCCGTTGTAGTAACAGAGGGTAAGAACTAGTAAGAGAAAAGGAGAACTCAATACAACTGCAAGGAACTGAATTCTGCCAACAAACTGAACACTTCAAACACCCTGACTGCAAATGAGACCAAGACCTGGCTGTACATCTTGATTCCGTCTTATAAGAGCCTGAGTAGAGAGTCCAGTTATACCTGGGCTTTTGACCTATAGACATTGGAAAGTAATAAATAGCTATTGTTTTAAGCTGCTTAGTTTGTGGTATAGTTATGCAGCAATAGGAAATGAACAATGGTGATGAGGACTGAGAACTGCTTTCAAGATAAGAGGGGGTTGTGGATTCATTGTGAAACCAGCAAAGCCTACCTTCAGGAGTGTTAGGAAAAAAGCAGTTTCTGGAATTGGATAAATATGGACTCATCTCCAATCACCTCTATTTATTAGCTGTGATTTGGGGGCAAGGGTCCTTTGAGTTTATTCCTTCATCCACAAAATAGGGATATATATCTCACTTTGTTGTCGTGAGGTTTAGATGGGATGATAAATGTTGTGCAGTGAGACATAGCACAGAATTAATTAAAGTTATAACGGTATTTTAAAAAGACAGTACTTTAGTAGACAACATCAGTCACTGTAGGCAAAGTAGAGACACTGAAAGCAGAGATACCAGTCAGGATTTAGTTGCCATTTAGTACCCTATTATTCTTTATATGGGGGTGCTCAACTAATGCTGAGCTTCCAGCTTTTGGAGATAGTGAACTCAAGGAGTTAAAGTCAAAGCTTCCTCAGATGTCCTTTGATTGGGTTGATGGGGGATAAGGGCAGGTGCTTTGAAAAGAAGGTTGTTGTTGTTTTCTCCTAATCCTTAACCCAACCAGTTGAAAAGAAGGTTGTTGTTGTTTTCTCCTAATCCTTAACCCTACCAGTTCGTAACCCCTAGAGCCACACTGCTAGGGAGAAAAAGGAAAGGCAGATGTTGACACACAATGTACATCTTTTCTGTCCTCGGTGATTCAGGGTTATAGAATAAGAAATATCTAAGACAAAGAGACCATAACTCATATCGGTGGCAGCGAGATTCAGTTACGGATCAAGGTGGCCTAATTGTCCAGGAGCTCAAAGGCAAGGGCAATTAGTGAAGTCAGATCCGACTTTAAGAACCTTTTCACTTAACCCCGTTGCAGAGTGTCCTGATGTAGGAGCTGTCCACTAAGCAGTGGGGGTGGACGTTAGCAAGAAATACCCAGGTGAGTCCTGGGTATTTGGTGGAAAAAGGTCTCATGCGTCTACTCAGCCTCTTTATCTGTAAAGTGAAGTTGTTAAACTACTTTTGTTAATGCTTGCAGATCTGTGTATACAAATAGTTACTAATAAGTCTCTGACGCGTAATCAGTTTTCCCCAGCCGTTCTTTTAGTTTAGATTCAAAAGGGAGAACGGGGGGGAGGGGCGCAAGCAAGCAAGTACTTTTATTGTAATATTGTAATTTGTTTTTATTATTACTATCATTCCCTTTTGGAGATGATGGAGTCGCCGTCAGAGCCGGACTTGTATCAAGACACAACCCCTCGAACCAACAGCCGCCCGGTGGCCTTGTCTTTCATGCCCAATGCGAACTGACAGCCGCGGTTCTCCTGACCCGAGCGAAGGCGGCGCGCGGCGGTCAAACAACGTGTCCTCAGCGAGCCACCGTAGACGCCCGCGCGGAGCACCCTTCCGCCCGGACGCTAGCGCCGCAGTGGGCGGGCCCTCACGCTCCGCCCCCCGTACGTCGGTGCGTAGGCCCAGCCCCCAGGAGCTCCGGAGCTGCCCGCGAGCTCACCGCCGGCTTTTC